AAAGGAACTTTTAGGCTACCAGAGGTCTGGCTTGCTCTCAACAGCAGGTGCCTGTTCAGATGGGTCCACAGCAGAGGCACGACCACTTCTGCTGGACATTCTCATATCCCTGCCACTGCTGTGCTGGATGGGGGGAAGGTTTTGGCAATGTCAGTCATTTCCAGCTCTCTGTTTGGACTTCCCCATATATATTCTCAGCTCAAGCCCACTAATAACCTGTTCAACACCTTCCTCTTGCCTCTGGATCTCTCTCTCTCTCTTGTAACCTTTACCAGAAGCTGCCTCGCCAACCTTCATGCGACAGGAAAGCCTCACACAGCTCAGCTAATGAACTGAGCGTGGTTCAGGCAGACAGACAGGGAACAACGGCGACTCACAGAGCATGTTTGCAGGGCTGCCTCCATTCACCACTTTCCCTGCTCGTTTTCACAAAGCAAGCCAGCCTGGAATACTGGGAATACTGGCAACAACAGAGGTGCCTGGGAGAGCAAAGTGACTTGCTTAGTCCAAAACACAAGAGAAGCTCACAATGCTTTAAAGACCAGCCAAAAAGTGCCATTTCCCTGTCGCGACGGAAAGCTCTAGACACCTCAATGTGAGAATCCAGGAACTTCGTTTATTGTAGATTGACAGCAGCTTAATATACACTCTATAATAGGTTCATGAATATTACAGAGATCAGGCTCATTATTGGTACTCAGTTAGGTGGTGATATCATCGTAACTGCCTTCCATTGTTGACACAGGTGGTACTCAGTTGTTTTTTGTTTTGCTAATCACAATGTCCTGTTTACCAGCCTATTAACACGTACAAGGGCACTCTAACTTTGCTATCTAAGATGTTCTCACGGCCTAGGCCAGCCCTGTTCTATAGCCAATTCCCTACATTTCCCCCCACATCTAGTTTTTAAGGAGGAATCACCATTTGCTGGCAAAGTTTCTTTATAGCACATAGAACCTGAGAAAAAGGGGTGCTTCTGGGTAGCAAGTGGTATAAAAAAAATGAAAGTGAGCAAGAAATGAAATCAGCAAAAACAGGCTGCCACCATCCTCAGAATGGAGGCAAAGCAACAGAGTGAGACAACAAAAGGAGAACATAAAAAATGTAGATGGGAAATTTAGGTTTGATGCAATTAAAAAGGATGAGAGAAATCCATGGAAAGGAGGTGGTGGGATGATATGATGGGTTTGGTATCTGCTGGAAGATACAAGGAGAGGAAAGGGAATTGGGACAAGCAGGAACTATAACTTTCAGCAACTGCTACAGAGGAACTAAAAACACCAGTAGAGAAAAAGGAGATGCAGCTGCACTGGCATCATATTTCCTTCCCACACTGGAAGTGCAACCTTCACATTTATTGAGCAATCACATTAATAAAAACATCATAAGCCTTTCTATATTTATTTTGGCAGTTGCATTTTCAACTCATGAGATCAAAGATTTTTTCAAAGGCAATGAAGAAAGTTATTAAAGAAATATTTAAAGACAACAAATTAACAGTAAAAGACATTTTTAAAAAATGGCTATGAGAAGCAGTCAAATTGGAATCAGAGCAGCCTTTTAGCTGAGTTTAGATTATAGCAAGCAACTTCTTATAGCTGCTTTTAGTTCAATAAATTCAAAGACTGTATGTGAATCAGACATTTCTCAGTGCAGATCTGGGCTTTGCTGTGTGAAAGAGAGAACACCTTGCCAGCACCACTTTTGCAGGGAGTTTGGCAGTCAGCCATATTACAGGAAACAGAGAACAAAATCACTCATTGTGTCCTGTTATATTTTAGCTTTTATCACCACTACAGAAGCTTTTAACTACCCTTTATCAGCAAACACCAGTCTTTGAGACCAAGAACTGTACCTTAACCAACACATTTTGTCACTCTCATTTCTTGGTACCTTAAAACAAAAATATCCCCCTGAATCCCACATTGGATATATCCCCAAGTTCTTTTACTTAATGTAAATATCAGCATCTGGTCCTAAATCAAACAACAGCACACCATAGCCTACAAATTCCAACTGCCTCTACTCTTTCAGCTGCCTTTATTTATTTTCATAAGTTGTGCTTTCAAACCTAGATGCCACGAGTTATCCTCATGTTTTATTGCTTCACTGAAAATTGAGGTTTCATATTCGAGCATCAGCTCCATTTTTAGCCTTATCTGCACAACTTCAAAATGACATGTCAGTCTGCCTTGTGGAATATTTCTCTTCTTGTCAACTCCCTAATCATTATGTTGGTTTGTAAAGCTCAGTATAGCTCATTAAACTCTGTGGCACCTGATGTCCACTTCAAACACAGTGAGGTCTTCTGGTCCAACGTGGTTTGTTTAAAGGTCTGCAGGAGCTGGATTAAAGAGCACACCTGAGGTGACAGCATGTTTTTTGTTGCTAATCTTGCCCTGACTCAAATCACAGTGGCAGTGCTACTCATCATCCATCCATCCATCCATCCATCCATCCTTTCTTTAGCAGACTAAGCCAGAGGGCAGGATGGAAACCAAACCTGGTGCATGTCTTGACTCAGTTCTGCGAATTCAAGGTGCATAAAGGAAGGTGAAGCTTTGTTACCTACAAATCCTCGTTGTTTTGATAGCTATGAAACTTTCCTGAAAAAAATGCATGGTTGACTTGTTGGTGTAACGCGATGCTGCCACTAAGACAGAAGGGATGTGCACAGGTGAGACAGGACAGCAGAGCGAGCTGCGAGTCTCCTCATTCTGCTCTCCTGTGTGTCACAACCCAAGTCTCCTTTCACTTGCATTAGCACGTGAATATTTCTACCCAGTGAGGACTTGAGATGAATTTCAGTTTGCTCAGGCACTCAGGCCTGCCTGGAAGGCAGAGCAGCTGTAGCCTCAGAGCCAAGGCTGCCACCTGAGGCACACTTTGTTCAGCAAGCATTGGCTGCCTGCCTTCATCTCCCATTTCCCAAAAGGAGCATAAAGTCTTTCCTTTTCCTTCAAGGAGGTGAAATTGCAATAAACACAACATGAGGACAAGGGACGTGCCAACAGAGCCTTCTGGGCTGAAGCTGGATACTGAACAATTAGGTACATTAGAAGTTTAAAAAGGAATGTTAATGGAGCCAGTAGGGGAAAAAAAAGGTCTTTGGCTTGCTGACCCAGCCCTCATGAGCAGTGGTTTCTGTACCAGAGAGGTATTCGATACCAGAGCACTGAGAATACCACGTGCACTCACACCCGTGTAACAGAATGAGGGTGTGTCAGGGCTATTCTGCTCACCATGCAAAGCAGCACCAGAGGCTGAACAGGCTCTGCAGCCCCTTAAAAGAGCTGTTTTCCACCTGGCTTCTCAGGAGTGACAGATCCAAGATGTGAAAAAGGAGAGATTTAACATGTCCAAAAAGTTCTGACAGAATACAGTTGAACATCTTTAAGTATCTGAATACAATAAAAATCTGCTATAAAAGCCTTTTAACTCAGAGACAATGTACCATGAACACAGTGGGTTTTCATGCAAATCCTTAAAATGTTACTTCTCAGTTTATGCATCATTACAGGCAGCTTAAAAAGGTTTTACAGAAATATATTTCAATCTTGAAGTGCTAGTAGTCAACTATTCAAAGAATGATGAGATAGGAGAACTCTCAGCTGCTTTAGTATCATTTAGAGATGACAAATGACACTGAACCTTAGAGGGTTTTGGAAGTTAAATAGTTGGCATTAGCAAGGCAGGGCAGAAATAATCTCTATGGTAAGCACAGGCTTTACCAACATTTACTTTATTTCATACAGAAAGGCAGTTGTTGCTATTTCAGAGCAGACAAATCTTTCTGCATTAAATGCAACAAACTAGATTTTTGGGTGGGAAAAACCCACATAGAAAATGGGGATACTGGGGTTTTTTTTAGAGTATCAAATACATACAAATGAAAGGGGTAATTCCAGCTCTGAAGGGCCCACAAAGTAAAGCTGGCATTACTGAATGAGACTAAAGGTGCCCCTATCCCAGTACCCTGGGCAGGGGATAAGGCAGGTGACAGCAGATGGGGACACTTCCCGTGGCATTTCCTTCAGCCTTCCAGTTCGAGTGAGGAAAACATTGCCAACTGCCCACTCCTGCCTTCCACTGGTGTTACTCTGTGTGAATGGCAGCTGTAAGAGCATCTGGAGGTACAAAGGCACTGAACTGTCTCAGAAAGCAAGGACAGGAGTAATGCACTGATGATGGATGAGGTGATTCCTCCCCGCAGTGGTACTTCAGCAGCACCTGCCAACTGATCTGGAAGTAGAGGTAATTCAGGTACTAAACAGCAGTCTTTTGACACCATCATATTTTTCTTCAAAGCTTATACAGCTTTCTAAGAACTATCTCACTTTAGAGCAGGCTAAGGTAGTATTTAGGAGTTTCGGTTCTTTCTTCTCCCTGTGCTATCCCATTACCCACACCTACTTTACCCACTCCAGATGGAAGTGCTGTTGGTTCTACTTTCCCTCCCAGCAAGGAAACCACTATTTCTTCATATAATCAACCAGTGGCCCAAGTACTAATGCAGCTCCCCTGCCTTGGCTGTGGCTGGGGGAGGTTCATGGCATTTTATTTCCTCCTCACTGTCACTACAACACTTGTCCACTGCTGCTGATCTTCTGGAATATGCCGGTCCACCACTTGTGTTTTATTCATGGCTTCTAGAAAAAAAAAACTGATGCAAAATTTCAGTCAACAGAGTTCTGAATAAACAAAAATAGATGGCAAGAGTGAAAGCCAGTCTGAATTTATTAAAGCGGAAGTTGAAACAAAAAGATTTCCCAGAAAAATGCCACTGACATTTATATTAAAGAGGGGAACAAAGCCCAGATCTGACATTTAAATATAATGCCACCTGTGTATAACCTAAACCTCATTTTTTACAGGCAGTTGGAAAGCTTCAAGGCAACTCCTCTTCTCCCTTTGTTAATCGTGAAGCCTTTCATCATAAAGGATTTGCTTCTTTTGCCTTTTCACTTTCTTTAAAAGTGATATGAATAGTGACTATGCAAAAGGCAAGGCAGCAAGAATTAAGTGAGTTGAAGAGATCTCAGCACAGGTAGCAGAGCATCACATTTAATTCCTTTCGTCCTTATTTTAATAACATTTATCATGATGAACTCTTAAGTCATTACAGAGCATGAAATATGCAGTGCTGTGCTTTGCCATTTAACATATAATTTATCTCCTCATTGCTGTGACTAAGACATTATTACTTTTTTTTAATAACTTCTTATCAGGCAGGTTCAGCCACATACCATTGGTTTTATTTCAAAACTCTGCACTACAGTCATATTCAGGAACTGATGCCCAATTTTTTTCTTCATTACTAAGAAAAAACCCCAGGCCACATGTCAGAGTCACTAATCAACAAAGTTACCTGCAGGTGAAAGGTAGGGAAAGGAGATCTCACTTATCACAGACCTTGTTCCCAGGCTTTTTGTCTCTCCTTGTCTGGTTGAATGCTTCACTGATCCACAGGGTAAAGAAGAAGGAATATTTTTTTAGGTTAGAAGGGGTGCTGACAGACAAAGAATTTGACAAGACAAAGAATTTCACCATGTCATCTCTGTGTCAGACCTATCCATTTGTGATCAAACTACAATGTGTTGTTCAGCTGAACACCTCATCCTGATTCGAAGCGACTGGAGTACTTATTTCATCTTTAAATAAATCACTAATTTCTCTCACTGTGCAAGTACTTTCTCTCACTTCACTTTAATTTCCAGCTACTGGACTTTGTAGGTAGAACAGAGAGCCCTGGGTTAGAAGTCTCCTGATGTGTAGGTACTTGCAGGTTCCTGCCTCCAAGCCCACCCGGGCAAGGGACAAAGACTGGTATCTCCTAATGTCTCACTGAACACTTTGTTTGAAAGTTCTTTGCAGAGGAGAGTGGAAGGTACTGCCTAATGCTTCTTAAAACACTGTAATCCCAAGATCACTGCTTCTTAATATTGCTTTTAGCGTGACTCACCCGGGGTGAGCACCAAATGTGCTAGAAAAAGCTGTGTACCTCAGCAGACTTTCAGTGCACTTATACAGGGGAAGCAGTGGTGGCAGCAAGAAACAATCAGACCAGAAAATGAAAGATGAGCAGGAGTCGGAGCTCATCAGCTGCTTCGACTTCAAGCATTTTGTAGGCATTGTGAGAGAAGCAAGATTTGAGAAGCATAACAAACACAAACACGAGTTCAGAGTAGTGGTGGTGTTACTATTATTAGCATGTTTTTTCACAGATTGCCTCTTTCCTAATTTTCATGATCACCTTTGCAACAAAGTCCAGGCTGAACAACATGAGCTACACGAGCACACTAACATGTCTTCAAGCCAGTGGTCATGACTGAGGAAAATAAGTCAGGTGGCCAGTTCAGCATGGTGCTCAGGCAGCAAAGGCATTCATAAAAATGTACTGTGCACATAAAAAATAATCAGGAAACAACAGTCAAAATGGTCACTGTGCACTTCCTGTAATTTAACTGCCCAGCTGCAACTCTGAATGTCTCTTCACATGATGGAAAGTTTGGAAGTGCCTTGAGGACAAGGAGCCACAGTCTGACTGCAAAGCAGAGTGGATTAGGATAACTGGGGCTAGACTAGACTAGACAGAATGGGGTTCCTCTCTACATCCTCATGAAGTTTAAGGTTTCAAAAATAATGAGAAAGCTCTTCTTGATTTCAGCTGCCCTGATTTTAGCCCCAGGTGGTGTAAAAGCATATAGATTTTGATAACTCACAGTAGACAATTTGTTAGATAAACCAAAAGACATTACCTTGTTGTTCTCTACAGATAATTTGGTGAAACAAAACAGAAACTGTGCATGGTTTTGGATTTGCATCAGAGCTGAATTACAAGACCTAGAGAACTTAATGAGTCTATTGGCTTATTTACCCATTTATGAACTGAGTTATTAATGATTAGTTCACAGATTAATTTGCTACAGCAGTTAATTTGACACAATTAATCATTATGAATATAGGACAACTATTACTCTGCCTTTCTGCTGAGGAACCCTCCACACCCAAAATGCACAACTGGCCTTGCACTGTCACTGCCCAAGGCAGGGACTCCATCAGTGAGGCTCAGCCTCTGTCCAGGGAGAGATCCCTTTGTGAGATGCCCTGCCCCTGTTCCCTGTGCACACGCAGCCAGGCGCTGCTCCGTGTGGTCTGTACACACCGGGGGAAGGAGGAAAGGCAGGGATTGCACAGAGCCAGCTTTTGCTTCTATTGCCATTAGACATCTGGATGCTGCCCACGCAGAACAAAGAGCACAGGCAATTGTTCCGGCTCAGCAGCCTCTCCGTGGGTGCTGCTCTGCTGCCCAGCCTCGAGTGGGGTGACAGAACTCGGGTGTTTGCCGCAGGCACAAAGAGCCGACGAACAAAAAGCTCACCCTGCGGACGGGTGACAGCAGTGTGCCGGTGTCCCGGGTGCCCGTGGGCACAGCGATGTCCTGCCCGGGGCTCCTGGCCCTGCACAGCCCCGAGGGGCAGCAGCAGAGACCACGCTTAAAAAATATTCCCTGTGTGGAAACTGCATTTATTCCTCCTCCCACTTCAGACACAATAGGCTCTAAGCACTCCTCACTTAAACAGCTTTTAACCCCCCCATTTGACAGATATTTAAGAAACACAAACTTCAGTTGTATCTCCTTCCATTGGCAACTAAGTGGTTGAAAAAAATCTCCAGTATTAGCTTCCTTTTTGTACACTGGCTCTCAATCAAGGATACTTCAGAAACTTCTATTTGTCACAGTACAGTAATCCAGCACTTTGGGAATCATAATGTATCATTTCATAGCTTTGGTGGATAAATAGCTATAATTTTCATTAGTCCTTCTTGAATAAGCTTTCCTAGAGTGTGAGGTTTTCCCTAAAACTATGTCATTCTACTGCTAACTGGTAAGCTGTGATGAAACGACAGAAATGATAATAAAGCCAATCAATATATTACCCTGTATGCACACATTATACACAGCAGAGGAAGGGCTTCCTTTATACCAGGTGCTCGTGGGGACTTCGTAGCCTATTCCAGCAGCTGTTCTCTGTGCATATCTAAACAAGCCAAGGCCCCACCCTGTGCCTGTGAGGACACCACCGTGTGCTGCCTCCTGGTGGGACAGCCTGCCTGTCCCAAATTTACTGGGGAAGGGGTTGAACTCTCCTTCCTGTGAATGTGAGTGATGTCCATGTGTCAGAGGTGCGGCTACACAAGAAACCAAGAATCCAATACTCAGCTGCAGGAAGGAGCAAAATGCTATTAAGCCTGTGGGCTGGGAATACAGGCAAATACCCCCCTGTCAAAGGCAGATGCTCTTTTCTCTAAAGCAGTAACAATGGTGAAAAAATTCCAGCATCTCAATGAAGGGAAAAATGTAGAATACTTTCATGTACAGTTTTCTTCAGTTAAAATGAGCATTTTTAAAGTACACTGAAGTGACATGGAAATTAAACATTGAGTAAAAACTTGAGGAGCTTATAAGTTACTTTCTAATATGGCTGTTTATTGTTTTAATATGATTTAGCCCTGCTCTCAAGGGGCAGGTGGACCAGACAACTCAAGTTATTCCATCCCTCTCTGAACCAGCATTCAAGGTTTACTTATAAGCATTTTTCTTGGCATCTTTTACCAATCCAGAAAACATCAGTTTATGTCTACACCATGCTGGTAACACCTATCACCCATCTGCTGGCCCCACACATAACCACAAGGATGCTAAATGTAACCCAAACACTATAAACAGAGCAAATATGAAAAAAAAAAAAGTAAAGGCATTTTCTTTCCAGACACGTCTGAAGGCACAAAAAATGGATCCTTCCCCCAGCTGGAGCAGATTTCATCTTGAGCATTTGCTATCTTATAGAGCACTGTAATTGACAAATTATCATGGAATAATTTTTGCCACTAAATATATCTTTATAGATTTCTCAAGTCTTGCTGTGTTTCTAAGGGCATTAATGCAATCTCTTAATATCTCAGCTATCTCTAAACAGAAGGCAGAAGCCCTTGATTAAGTAATTAGTTGTGTCAGTAGGAGAAATCACCAGCAAAATCATACCTTCCTTTGGTATAAAAGAAACAAAAACCCCCAGAGAATAGATTTGTAGTACAAATTAAAAAATCCATTTATCTTTCATCAATAATTCACCTTGGCACTTTGCATCCCTCTTGTGCAGAGGGCAAATGGCTCAGTCTCTCAGCACAGAAAGTACTCCCAAACTGGGGAAAAGGCCCATAAGCAGATGGCACCTCCACACACAGACACACTGTGACTTCCACTGGTTCTCCTGTGGGACAGGGGACAATACGTCCCTGTCTCCCTGCAGAGTGACAACTTTGCCATACTGTGTGGTTGTGTTTACCTGATTAACTTATCCTTGGCCAGAAGGGAAGATGTGGTCTGGCCTCAAAATCTGTTATAAATTCTCAGCAGGATAACAAACCTCTGAAAATGCATTGATCTGCCAGCCCACATTCACAGACGGGGGATCACCGAATGCTTCCTTCTGCTAAGGAATTCACTGAGCAGAAATACAGCTAACCTTGGTGGTTTTTTCCATTCACTTTCAAAAAGCCCAATAACCACATCTTAAAGGCTGAATCACTACAAAAGCAATCTTGAGAACTAATAACATGAAAGCCAGTATTGATGAGACTGGGGTGAGAGAACAGCTATGCAGCTGCTTTTCCCGTAAACACAGGGAGCGGGAAACCTGCTCATTTCCTTGTGGGCAAAATAGATGCTCAGGGGATGTAAATTCCACCAATTTCAAACCAGAACCAGACCACATTGCTTTAGAATCCCTTCTTCCGCTTTCAGAGTGATTACTGCAGCAGTATTGTACCACTTTCTATGTAATGTCAGTTTTATTTCCAACCACTTTACGTAATAACACTTGATTATTCATTACATATTATTTTGACTCAGTGCATACACTCCTGCCCTGGGAATACAGCACATACTTGCAGAAGCAGATCTTCATCTTCCCCTGTGCTTTGTGCTTTTCTTACCTGGCATTATATAGGCTGTGAGTAGGTTGGTCTCTTAATGCACATCACTCAGCTCCTGGCCCTGCACATGGATGACAGATTTGTGCTTTAACATGGCTGAGTCTAAATAAAGCTTTGGCTTGGCTGAGATCAGCTTTATCTGGTCTGGTAGGTAGATGATCTTTGCTATTTTGTAGTCAAAGAAAACCTACTTTCTATGAGGGTTACTTACAGCTGAACAGAGAATGGTTTTATAAGTCTGATCGTGTTCCTCACAGCATTGTCAAGGAAAAAGTAATCCAATAGGCAAACATGCTGATCCAAACCTCTCTCCAATCAGCAGTGAACCAGCCTGCCCTGCCCCACAGCCAGCTGAGGAAACCTCAGAGCCACTACTCAGCTTTGTGGTCTAGTGACCCTCTGCTGCTCACCCTGACAAAGGAATCCTCAGGGAAGCAGGATGGCCCGTGCCATAGTTGAAAGTAAATGTTAATGACTCCATCGGGCCTGAAAACTTTACACTGGGAGAGTTTCCTTTTCCTTTTTTTCTGGACTAACACTGCCCAGATGAATGGAACTCCTTCAAGCAGCCTTTCATAGAGGTCCTGGTGAGATGGTCAAGAGTACCTTGAGTTCTGCAAAGACCCCTTTTTCCAGCAGGAAAAAAAAGAAAAAGACAGGACTGAAATAAATGTTTGTCTAAATTCTGTACACAAGATATTTTCAGTGTGGTTGTGAAATGGCTTTAGAATTGGTTTCAAAGGAACATAAAATGGCTTTGTAATTACAAAATAGATTCAGAATGATTGAAGTCAAGTACATGTTCTGAAAAGCATCCTAAAAACGTCTTGGCATTACAGAGCCTTAGATGTTTGTTTTATGTTCTATCTTGGGAGCAGATAAAATCTGCTTTTTTTCTAGACATTAATGTCTGCTATAAAGTGTAATGAGAAAGTTAGCAGGATGTAGCAGAGGAAGTATTCTCATGCTCACAGAAGAACATTCTGAGCAGCAGTGCTGCTGGGCAGATAGTGCCACAGCAACTGAGGGGAAGCAAGTGCATGGGAATACAGCCTTGGAATTCAGGGAGGCAAAGAGCAATCCCCTTGCTGTGCAGCCCCTGGGTTTTACAGCAGGCCTGGAGATGTGTTTCCAGCCTTTGGTGCTGCTCACCAGTGCCAGGAACCCACAGGGGCAAACACAGAGCAAGTGGATAGTGAGGGGACATTTTCCAAGAGCAAACATGGGACATCATGCCAGAGTGCTGCCTCTGCCTGCTCTGAGTGCCTGGGGAAGCTGCCTCAGGGACAGAAGCTTGGACTGCAAAGTGAGCCCGAAGAAAGGTGTCAATGGGAACCCTGTGACTGAAGAACCATGAAAGGAAATTAATAAAGGTGTCACCTGAATGGCTCTCAGGTAGTGCTCGTCCCTCCATTGACTCCAGTGGGTACAGCCTCTGCTAACTATGACTGCACCACACAGCACTTCACTTAGACATTAGCTAATGGTAAAAGCACTCTCTTCATCCCACCCCTACCCTGAATGGCCTAAGTTATGCTGCTGCAGTAGACAACAAAGCAGTTGCAATGCAATCACCTCCACGCTCCCCACAATTCTGCAGATCTATGCCTTTGCTCCTCACTAATTAATTCTTGCCCTCATTCGGCCAATGAATTCTTATTTCAACTCAGGAAGAATTTGCAATATTCATGCCTTGATCATCTGAACAGAATTATTTTGGACAGTTAATAGGACAACTGAGGAAGTCCAAGCTCCACACCACAAAATGTTTCTGTTTCAGCAGAGCCCATTCATTGGATCTTGGTCTCAGTGATTTTATTAGTCAGACTCTGGGGGGCACTAGGATCTCATGATGAAAGACATGGGATAGAATCTCTGCTGTTTCCCACACTCATATTTGCAGCTATTTGGATTTTGAATGTAAAATCAGGGCCAACAGTGATTAAGTTTCACATGAGTTTCATCACACTTCAGAATTCCCCTACTTCCACTTCTACAAACTCTCTCTGGACCTCTTCAGCTGGGAAACCAGCACAGAGATCTCAGGAGAAAATGCTTATCTTTAGTTCTGAAACTGAATATGCTCCATGAAACTGCAACGTGTTAAATACATAAAAAGTCCTACACGCTCAGCTGGCACAGCAGGAGCATGGACATGGGCTGGTGTGCTGAATCCCAGAGCTGCTCCCTCTGGACTGCTTTCCCCTTCCCTCTGCCCTTCACAGTACATTAGGTTAGCTTTTGATCCCAAACAAACCTAGAGAACACAGGGACATGAGCAGGTTGCTGTTTTTTATCCCATGGCTTCTGCCCAGCAGTGAATTTTCTTTCCTCAGAAACACAGGGTGGGGTTTATGTTCTCTTACAATCTTTATCTTGCTCTTCTTCATAATCATCTCAGCTTACAGGGACAAAACAGCATCCAACACCCTTATTAACTGCAATGAGAAAATTGCTCCTAAAGACCCGTTAAGGTGATAAGGCAGAAAAACTATGATTTGAGGTAGGCACCAGGGAGCCTTCCAGGATGCCAGTTGCCTGGAACACCCACACAGTCATTCGCCCTGTTCACAACACTAACAAGGAACCACTACCACAAAAATAGCAATAATAAATAGATCCAATTGCAAAATCCACATTTCACCCTGCTCCTTACATGGATCATGTGATATCATCTCCTCTCCCTGACCGTCTGATACGGTTAGAGCCGAAATGGCAAGAATGGCAAACATTATCATCAGACATGTGACTTGCAATTTAAGCAATAAAACCATCTTCATGTAACTCCCTACTATGTAAGGCAAAAATAGCACAGAATTTAAGGAATTTTTCTATATATGCAGTATTTCAACTGACAATTGCCTGCTAGCAGTCTCAAGACCAAACAATTACACTGAAACATGTTTAAATAAACCATATTTCTGCTTAAATGCACAGATTTTCAAAGAACACTGAAAACCTTGAAAATCTCTTCAAATTAATCACTGCAAATTATTCAGTCAGTTACAATTCTAGTCATCTGTGCTTGGGAGAATAAAAAGCATGTAATTTATTTGTCTGACTCTCAAAAAATGTCCACCCATTCCTTTAAGCTCTCTTTTCACTGTGCTTTATGGGGACTGTTAGACAGCTCTACAAAAGCATTTTAACAGCAAACTGAACTTCCCAAAGTACACTGGGCAGAGACTAGAACTTCTAGGTGAAATCCCCAAGAGGGAATATTATGTGGCATCTTTGATAATTGTAGTCCCTATTGTCTTTAATTTCTAGATTAAAAGCAGAAGGAGGTGGTGAAAGAAAATCCTTTTTCACAGGCTGATATTGTCATCTGAGGATATTATCTAACTATAATTTATGCTTTAAAGCACTTCAAAAGGAACTGATATTTTTATAGACGCCTGAACTCTCATAATCTGTACAGCTGCCAGCTGTTAATACTCAAGAGAAATAGAAATTCAGTTATTTAAGACCATAAAGAAACAAACCAAAAATCCAACCTAAAAAGCATACAAAGAGAATTCTAATTTGACCTTTGTCTTTAATCCAAAGTCAGAGACTGTTTGGCTGAAAATGTGGTAATTGCAAGACTCAGTTCAAACCCACTCGAAGGCTGAGAAAGCTGATGTGTATCTGATCCTCAGCTAAGCACAGACAAACCCAGTGCACAAACACCCACCTTCACAAGCCTTAGAATGATCTCTATTTTGGAAAAAGAGTCATCAGCCTGTACTTCTGTCACAGCAGTGCAAAGGAACCAGCACATGTACATCTAATAGGTGACATCTAATCTGTCACCACTAAAGGCTACAATGGACACTATTCCATCTCTGCTTTGGATTCATAAGAAGGTGTCACTGTCACTTCTGCTTGGCACTTTCTGGAGCTATTATGGGTGTTGAACTAAACAGTCCAAAGTATCAAGAACTGGATTTTGCTGCCCTTCCCTTCCCTGAACAGCACAGCTCACCTCAAATCCTCACGCAAACAAAAGGGTTTCTCAGGAGGTAGTGTGTTAGTCAATGTGGGAAAGAATGACAGTGCTTTGTCCACGGAGGGGATCCCACACTGCACCCTGGGGCTATGGCTCCAAGGAGGAAGAAGGCTCTGTCCATTGTCCCACCATGCTTTGGCAGTGCTGGGGTGTTCAGATATATCTGACTTTTCCAAGGCTTTGTCTTAAGGTTTATTCATCACTGCTGTCCTTTTTGTGGGAGGAACTGAAACTCAACTTGATCTTGAGAGGAACCCATTAAAGAAACCAAAGCTCCTCCACCCTCTGGCCACTACACATCTATCCCTTACCTGGTCCACATTTTTCTGAGCCTTTCTGTTTCTACCAAAAAGGACGACCCAAAAGCCAACTACCATACCTTTCTTTAAACCCTCAGCTCCACACCTCTCCTTTCTCTCAAGGGTACTAGAAAAAACCCCACAATTCTTACACCCAAACACTGCTCTTCAGTAAGTCCGAGCAGAAACTGCCAAGAGAAACAACATTCTCCCAACAGCTCCCATTCTGCACGTAGCACCCCCCATTCAGGCATCCACGGCCAGCCAATTCAGCAGGACACCTGACTGAAGCACAGTGCTCCTGCTCTCCATGTCTGAGAACCTGCCACCCAAAGGCACCCCACCTGAGGGGCCATTCCACCCAGCTCACCCTTCCTCCTGTTGCCTAAAAGACTCAGGCAGAAAAAAAACTCCAGGGCAACTTAAGTAGGAGGTAAGATAAGAGAAGGTTTTAATGAAGCCTCTCAGGCTCTGAGAATAGAAATCACACACATGCCCCCTGACCCAGGTGTTAGTTCCCTTAGTTGGGGAACTAAGAATTTTTATAATGATGTTCATCCAATCCCTGTTTGTCCACCCCCCGGCCTTTGCCCTGTTCCACCCCCCGCCCCGCCCCTCGGGAATTGAGCCTGGGGGAGTTTTGGGACCCCTTCTTCCTCATCTTCATCTTCTTCGGAGCACATACAGTCCTTGGAGACTTTCCAAAGTCCTGGGATATATCTTGTTGTCCAGGCCAAGGTGTAGATATTCTTAAACAGAATGAAGGCTTAC